ACTGGAAAGTCCCCGAATCAAATGGAGGTTTCTAGCTGGGAAAATCATCGAACTACATGGTGGATTTTCAAGCAAACCATGTTTGATTGCCAGAGGGTACCAGTTTAAATCCGTTCCAATGATTTGCAAATTGGTTCTTTCTATGAAATCACAGCCGTTCATTGTGGACTGGTTCGACTGGTTCGACTGGTTTGTTGAGAGCAGGATTTGGATAACAGGTCGTAGTATTCCCACTGCGGCTGGTTCCATCAAAAGCCCGAGTGGAACCTAAACAAGGGGTCTTGAAGAAACATAGTGAAACATACACAAACAAATTAAATGACAAATGATCATCAAAATCCGGTTTAAAGGTCATGAACTTTGAAATTCAAAGGCCGTGTTATGTCGATTCCTTCCGCCAAAATCAAGAAAATTCCGCACTTCCCATGCTCATTGGTTCAAGCAAAACGACGACAGGCGCTCCAAGCGGCAAAACTCCACGCTGCCCATCATGCTTCCCTCTGCCTGGCGATTTGTCAACTCCTTACTGTATAAAACTTGTGGAATAATGGGTTTTACTAGGTAAAATCATGGGAAAAGCCTGGGAAACCCAAGAAAAATGGAGGTTTCAATGGGAAAATCATGGGTTAATAATAGATATTAATGCGATACTAACTCCTCGTTATCCCAGCAATAATGGGATAATAGTGCGGTAAACCCAATGCCATAATTGGGGTAGTACATGGTAATACGGTATATCCCTATTTGGGATGATTAAAAATGACCCCAAATGGTTGGTTAATGGGAAGGTTTATTGTCGGTTTACCACGTTATCATGGATGATGTTGAGATTGTAGTAAGAAAATGTGTCCGAATTGGCAAAAATGATGAGAAAGTTGTTTGCAGTTCTCAAGTATTGACGTTTTCCCATTTTGTTTTTTTTGGGTTGGTAGATGATGAAATGTGCGCCAAAGTGTTGTATTGACATTCCACAATCTGATCGCATGAGAAGACCATTGTGAACAGTCCCTGAAATTGGTCCATGGTTGTGGAAACGAACTATTTTTTGACTAAATGCCCAGAATGCTCCCGTGATGGCCAGAACCCCCAATCTGAGCCCAGTCATAGACTTCTGGTGCCAAAGTCATCAAGTTTTCCTCAACTCAAAGGAAACCACCCGAGATACCTTACTAGATACTAGACAAAGACCTCCAACATCGAAGTTGCTGAAGCTATGCAGCACCTTCCAATCACAGAAATCCTACAGTATCCCAGAATCCTGTGGCCAGACCTTCGCTATCCATCTCCAAAACATCATCGGATCGAGTCCAAGTTGCGTGTGTACAGGTGTTGCCAGCATTTCGTAGCGCAAAGATGTCACCAGGCATGGCGTCGAAAATGGTTTCCAATGGGACCTTGATTTTTCAGGCATGATTCCGGTTTCAGATTGGAATTCGGCTGCCGTTTACGATGCGTTTTCAAACTAAATCACTATAGATCAATTGATATCAATTGCATCAGCCCACTATCCTTTCTGCTTTCGATCATTTTGGATCCCCATATTTCTCTTGGTAAATATCCAAATATCCACCATTTGGGAAATGAAGAAACAACATTTGTTCTAATGGTGCCCGGTCGAGCCACCCATGAGAAACTCATGGTGTACTGGTTGGTGATTGAGCCATCCATCCGAAAAATGTGCTCGTCTGATTGGATCAAACATCGGTTTTTGATCTCAATAGCCACACTTTGTATGCTAGGAGGGAAGTCCCCAAAACAGTGAGAATCATGGCGCCCTCATGTTAGAAACAGATGTTTTTTTAATACTTCATTGAAATGAACAAGCTTTTGGGGTGGCTGACAGTGCAGGTTGAAAGCAACTCTTGACTCTTGAAAGACGTTTCACAACAGAAACAGAACCTAGTCCTTTGATCCACTTTCATCATTCACAATTGGCGAAGTCGTCAGGATGTTCCTAAAATCCAATGGTTCATCATCATCATCATCATCATCATCATCATCATCATCATCATCATCATCATATTGTTGGCTAATGTTGGCTATATATCATTTTTAATGTTGGCTAATGTTGGCTAATGGTGTTAAAATATGTTGGAACATTGCCATTTTTGTTGAGCTATCCCCTGGTTGAATCCAAGTTGCAGGGCAGTCAGCACATCCCACCACCGCAGTGTGTGGAGCTTGAAACATCTCTAGCTGATGTCGGGCCTGCCACACGCCCAAAATATAGTAGGGTTTGTTTAATGGATATATAAGGGTAGTAGCTGTGGCTAGTACTGGTACAATGGGTATATATAATGGTTGTATATATATATATATATGTACTCATATATATATATATATATATACATAGCGGCATATATTTGTTAATATAGTGGTATAGTGGTATATAGTAGGGTCCAAAATGGGAATCTATTTGGGATATAATGGGATAGATTTCACCAACTATATACAAATGGGTATGTCTGAAAATGGCGGATAACTCGGGACAGTTAAGAGGGAAAATAAGGCTCTATGTAAACAATGGAATTTTCGGGGTACCCTATTCTCAGACAAACGCATATGTGATTCATGATGAGTATGTTGGTTGATGAGAAAGTAACCATAAGTGGGATAAAATTGGGACATTGATATCCTCAACAAATTGGATTGATGTCTTCATCACATTGGATTTGCATCCGGCCCCCCAAAAAGAAAACAAAAAAAACACGCAACAAAAAAAAAAAAAAACGAGTTTCGCGGTATGGTGGATTTCCAGCATTCCGGTTCTGGTTTTCAAGGCCGACAAGCAAACAGCGCACCAGGCCCCCAGAGATGTTTCACCCAGGCAATGCTTTTGGGGATTTGATCATGCAAAGTCACTTCAGGGATACCCTCTGGTAAACTAACATAGCTATGGAAAATCACTATTTTTAATGGGTAAATCCACTATTTCTATGGCCATTTTCAATGGCTACATTAGTTTACCAGAGGGTAGTCATACCGATTTCGCATGGGGGCAAAGGGGAGAGTCACCATGCTGATCTCGGGAACATTGCAATGACCTGGACGCCAAAGGTTTCCATGGACGACTTTGGGGGACGAACTTCATCATTTACCTATTGGTTGTTCAATGGTTCAATGGGACCCCTCTATTCACCAACCAGTACGAACAGGACATATATGAAGCGTTTTACACATGTAGGTCGTCAGAAACTGGGGACCAGTTGAAACAGGATGGAGTTCTCGTTCTTAATAAATCAGCCACTTTGTTTGGTGCGCAAATCGTCTGATCCTAAACTAAACCCTCTATGGCCGAAGTGAGCACTGCCAGAGCCATTCTGTTGTTCGCGGATTTTCCAGGTTCTTGGTGGTTCACATGTGTTTTTTGATGTTTCAAATCCTACTTTCAATTTTAAAGAATACTGTAAAATCCCATTTTTTGGCGCTGCTTTTGATTCTTTTCTGGTGATTTCGAATCCTAATTTGCTCAAAAATTGGTACTTCTGTGGCTCAAAAATCCATTGCGTTGGCACGATTTCCAGGATTGCTCCGAACACCCCAGCTACAAAGCTAAGAAACTGAGTCAATAAAGAGTCGAATAATCAACCTCTCCCCGAAAGCGGCTATCACCTAGAATAGGGTGGAGCAGCTCTGATTTTTTTGTGTATACCCATAAAGTAACAAGTTTAAATGGTCAAAATGAGGTTCTTAACCAGTGGAATAGGACTGAAAGACCCCAAAATTTTCGGGTGCCCGGCCCTTCCTGGTGGTTCATCGACGCAGCCATAGGTCGCCCACGGATGAAGCGTTCATTGCCCGCCTGAAGTTTTTCAGCCAGGGAAGGCAGCACAAAGCTTTGTCGAATACCTAATCATCTAGAATGAATAAGGATCTTGAAGGTTATACATATATATATATATGTATATGTATATGTATACGTATATATATATATATGATTATATATGTATACACCCTCGGGTAGTCAAACGTGGGAATTGGAAAGACAGACAGACGGACGGACAAACGGAGGGATGCAGGGATGGATGGATGGATGGATAGATAGATAGATAGATAGAGAGATAGACAGAGATAGACAGAGATAGACAGAGAAAGACAGAGATAGACAGAGATAGACAGAGATAGACAGAGATAGACAGAGAAAGACAGAGATAGACAGAGAAAGACAGAGATAGACAGAGATAGACAGAGATAGACAGAGATAGACAGAGATAGACAGATACAGAATTAGAGAGATGGAGAGATACAGAAGCAGAGACATAGAGACAGAGAACTAGAGGGATAGAGGGATAGAGGGATAGACATAGACATTGACACACAAATATCGGATATCGGATACTCAATACTGCATTAGATATTTCTCAATATTAGACCATGAACATAGAAAACTCAATATTAGACCTTTTTACATACATGCCATGTTTTTTTATATTCCATGGATTTATATGATTTATGTAAGTATATAAATATATGCCATGACATCGATGATATGGATGATGTATAAATATGTATCTACCCTCTGGTAAACTAACAGTTCGCTATTGAAAATGGTCATAGAAATAGTGGATTTTCCCATTAAAAATGGTGATTTTCCATAGAAAACTCCCATGGATTTCCCCAGAAATCCATGGCCCCATGGCCCCCATGGCCCCATGGCCTTCAGCAACAGCATGGCCTGGTGCGGCGGCAGCGCTTTGCGGTGAAACTTCGCCGACAGGCTCGCCTCGGCGCGCGGCTGGCGATGTTCGCCGGTGGCGATTCGAAAGAACTCCTTTAAGGAACGTTGGATTTATGGTAGATATAACATAATATAACGTGATATACCATGATATACCATGATATACCATGATATACCATGATATACCATGATATACCATGATATACCATGATATACCATGATATACCATGATACATGATACATGATATACCTATACTTCGATTGGTGGAACCATACTTTGATGGGTTTGTAGTTCATCAAAAATATCACTGCGGGGGCACCAGTTTGTGGATTTCACATGTTTTCACCACGGAACATGGGAAGTTTCACCCGGAAATATGGTCGACAAGCTGTGGATCATCCGTGTGTGGTGGGTGGTAAATGGTGGGCTGGCGGAAATTTGGGGTGATTCCAACTTCGATGGCACGGTCACGACGGTCACTGTCTTATTGACAAGAATCAAAAAATGGGAAAATGATGGGAAAATGCTAAATGTGCAAATAAAAAGTGAATTTTCCCATCATTTTCCCATCATTTTCCCATCATTTTCCCATCATTTTCCCATCATTTTCCCATCATTTCACGGGTTTTTGCTTCGTAGGTCTACTGCATCCGCCGAACAGTGACAAATCATCTTAGAGACGGGCCACTCCTTCGGTCATGAAGCCGGTTACAGTAGTTTTCAAGGTCCAACTCCACTGGAGGCATCACACATTGTTACCAAAAATTCCAGTGCAATGACTTGACCCGCCCAGCTACTTATAAGCTTATAAGCCCCATGGCTGGTTGACAAATTTCAACATGTTTGTTGTCTTAAATATCTCCATTCAGAGTGAAATGCTTGCTTTCTTCATGATTTCTTCACACCTATTTGTTGACTAAAATCCCCTAGTTGTTTGTCAAAGGTCAAAATGTTCACATGTTTCATGGTTTACATCCCGCACTATTTCTCATTGACTCATGGTTTAAATCCGACCTATAAGATCATATACATATGTGTGTATGTATGTATGTATGTATGTATGTATGTATGTATGTATGTATGTATGTATGTATGTATGTATGTATGTATGTATGTATGTATGTATGTATGTATGTATGTATGTATGTATGTATGTATGTATGTATGTATGTATGTATGTATGTATATGTATGTATGTATGTATGTATGTATGTATGTATGTATGTATGTATGTATGTATGTATGTATGTATGTATGTATGTATGTATGTATGTATGTATGTATTTGTATTTGTATTTGTATTTGTATTTGTAATTGTATTGTATTGTATTGTATTGTGTTGTGTTGTGTTGTGTTGTGTTGTAATGTAATGTAATGTAGTGTAGTGTAATGTAATGTAATGTATGTATGTATGTATGTATGAATATATATATATATAGAGAGAGAGATATATAATGCCTCATGACATCATATGTGTACATACTACGCCTAGTATCACAGTGCATCATACAACGTGGCACCACCCTGCTACAAGTTGGACTTGTAACTCCAGGTCACATTAGTGCGATACACTACCACTAGCTGATCGTTCGATTCGCCCTTGTTTCATCGTGTTGTAATCGTGGTTCAGATTCACCCTGAAAAAAAGCCCAAACAGAAAAACGGATGTGTCACCGAAAATGGGGGAAGTGAAATGCCCATGAAAAATCCCCTATCCCATCACATCCATCATACTGGTTAATAGAATCCCTAAGAAATTGGGAGTCAAGCCCCCTAAAATAACAATGATATTCTGTGTGGCTACATAGGTTTATAAATCATTTTCCACTACATCCCCCCCACTTTTGTTGATTTTATGCCCCAATGAATTGTTGCTTCAGACACCATGTAGAAATGCCCATGTTTTCCCGGTGGATCCACTGGGCCACGGCACTGAGCTGACGGAAGTTCCGTTTGAACTTCCTATCCGTTCGGGGCAGCCTCAATGGGAGAGCGAGCGCACGTCTTTGGAGAGGAACCGGGGCAGTGAAACTGGTAGTAACATGGATACTTTACTGTATAATTCTTAGAACTAACAAGAATGCCACTATTTAATACTAGCTACACATATACAATAAATATAACAAGTCCAGGTTTTTGCAGGTTACATTGCTTATCTAATATTGTATATATATATACAATACATATATTTATATATATATATGGGACCTGATCAAAATTCCTTTATCTGGGGCCGGCTATTCTTCGCGAATAAAATGTTCACTTTTGCGAAACTTTTGCGAACTCCATGTTTATCTTTCGCGGAACCCATGTTGGGCAACAATGTTTCTTATATTTCTTATCAAGATTCATTCATCACCTGCCAAGTGATGCCAAATTGTCATGGATCACTTCTTGATAGCCGCTAGCCTTGTAAACATGCAGCTAGATGGACCTTCTCTGGAACCTTCTCCGGAACCTTCTCCGGAACCCTGTTGAACCTGACGTGGCTTTGCACCAAGGCTTCCTGGAACCTTCTCCGGCCTTCTCCGGAACCCTGTTGAACCTGACCTGGCTCTGCACCAAAGCCTCCCAGACCTTCTCCGGAACCTTATCCGGAACCTTCTCAGGAACCCTGTTTGACCTGGCTCTGCACCAAAGCCTCCCAGACCTTCTTCGGAACCTTCGGAACTTTCTCCGGAACGTCGTTGAACCTGACCCGGCGCCTGCACCACTGAAGACCCCATTAGCTTACGCTGTTGGGGAATAAATACACGATTGAGCATTTGATTCATGTATTTCATGGTGAAATACCGCCTGTGCTGTGAACACGAACATTTGCCTGCAATGTGATGCTGAGTCTTCAAGGAATGTTGTGCAATGATTTGTCAAAACAAAATATTGATTTGATCACTTGGATTCATCTCATGGAGAGTCTGTCAAGTGTGCTAAGGACTGCCCGTTCAGTTCTGAATACGAATGTTTGCCCGCACTGTCACGGTTGTGGCGACATCAGCAAGAGTTGAATATGTGTCATGTCCCTTTCTTGCTGGTCATTTCCCCAACATTGCCAGGCAAGCGACACGCACTTTCTTGGTGCAATCCAAGTACTGTGACCCATGCCCAATGGTGATCTCTGACCAAATGTGGCAAAAACGGACAGCCAACACTGCATAAAGACTGTGATTTTTTAACGAAAAATGATTGGTTCAGAGATTTGCCAACAGAAAGCAGGAATTGCTTACAGTACACTATATAAGGATAAGGAGGCCATAAAAAAAAAAAAAAACGAGTCATGATGGATGAATCATCTTCGGCAGATCCAGCCGGATTGGACCATCAAATATGAGTTTTTTGTTGGCGCATGTTCCCTTCAACCAGTTCTTTGAAGTTTGAAGAACTGGGGAAAAATTAGGATAAAACTAGCAAAAATAGGGACTTGATCAACCACATTGGAAGGCTTACCAACTCGAAATTAGACAATGATGGGGGAACTATTTTGGAGAAATACAGTAGAGGCTTGTCGAATATCTTACTCCCAAAGGCAGAGAGACAGACAGGCAGACAGACGGACGGACAGACAAACAAACGAACAAACAAACAAACAAACATGTATGGATGATTGATGTGGCAATTATTATGCATTCATTTGAGCCGGCAATTATCTATTTAAAGTTGACAGGATCGCTTCAGAACACCATCCCAGATATCACTTCAGAACAAAGGGCATCACGGGACTGACAAGGGGCAGCACAGTGGGGTGGAGTGTGGTGGGGTGGGGTGGGGTGGGGTGGGATGGTAACGTTCCATCAGACGCGTACATATTGCACATGACACTTGTCCAGTCAAGGGAGAGACACTGGGGTGGGGTGGGCTGGGGTGGGCTGGGTGGGGTGGGGTGGGGTGGGGCAACAACGTTCGTGTTCACAGAGGCACCGCACCGTGATCAGTCTTGGGGTGGCAGTCGTGACATGCCAAATAGCTTTTCAACAAGTAGATCACCTAGAAGTTAACTCCTGTGAAGCTAACTCCTTTGTCACAACTCCTGTGTAGCAACTCCTATAAAACAACTCCTGTATAACAAGCTCTGTGTCACAATTTATGTGTAACAACTCCAGTGTAAGAACTTGTGTAGATTAATGTATGTGATCTGATGTTGATGAAGTTGATGTTGATGATGTTGATGAGGTTGATAAAGGTGATGTTGATGATGTTGATAATGTATGTGATGTAGATGAAGTAGATGAAGTTGATATAGATGATGTAGAGGATGTATGTGGTGTAGATGAAGATGATGTGGATTATGTAAAGGATATCGGAGAGATGTAGGAGATGCAGTGATGCATGTAATGTAGATGAAGTTGATGTGGATGATCTAGGTCCAGGTGATATAAAAGATATAGAAGATGCTGTGTAGATGACGTAGGATCATCTTCCGCATTCTAAAGCGATGGTCGGCGCCGCTTTCAAAAGCAAGCCTTGCCCAACTTAAAATTAGAAACCAACGATTATGGATCAAACTCATGGAATTCTCGTGCACATCAAAACAGTCGGTATACGATCATAATATAGAAAAAAATGGAAAATCATAGGTTTCGGCCTATCCCCATGTATGGTTCAAACATTGGTTCTATACCCATATGTGCTTTTGTCACAGACTTTATTGCCTGCTTAGAGAAATCGGTAGTATGAAGCATCATGACACCAAGAATGGTCACACGAAAATGTCCGAAGTCCTTCTCTCTCTCTCTCTCCCTCTCTCTACGTTCCTCTTTTCTTAGACGAAACTTTGCAGGCTACCCGCCGCTGGTAATTTAACATGACTATGGAAGATCACCATTTCTAGGTTAATCATCCAACTAAATAGGCCATCTATAACATAGCAATGTTCATTTACGGCATTGAATGCTGTGGAAGGAGCAGTGTTCAAAACCCCATGTATGTCATTGCATTTATGTATTCCTGGTCCAGAAAGGGATTCCTAGAATGGACTATGATAATCCCCAATATAAAGGGTAGTATGACCCCCTGCAATCATCAACGAACAAGGGTTTGGCAGCCTCTGCTCAAGTGAGGTATGTGGGCTTTGGTCGGCCAAAATTCCGCAACAAGAACTATCCAGAATCATCGTCTCCCCTTTTGTTAGTGAAAAATAGCCTATCATATGTCCTACTGTATATGGATATTTGTTGGTTATATAATGGTTGTATGGATTTACATCACTATTATTATTAGTATTACTATTATTACTATTATTATTACTTTATATATATATATGTATTATTATTACATATTATTACTACAGTATATATTAGTATTACTGTATTATTATATATTATTATCATTATTGGCTTAGAGCCCTAAAATGCTTCCGATATGATTTTCATCGGCAGAAAATCCATTCACCTCGTAGGGATTCCGAGGGGAAGCTCGAAGCACTTCTGTCCGGAACCTCGGTGGTTCAACCACGGGGCTCCCTGAGTGTCCCGGCTGTGAGATGCCCATCATTCATAGCTACCCTCTGGTAAACTAACATAACTGTGGAAAATCATCATGTTCAATGGGTAAATCCACTATAAATGGTCATTTTCAATAGCTATGTTAAATTACCAGAGGGTAAATTCATAGCTAACTTGGCCCATGATTTCACCAGAGCAATGGAACATCCGCCACTTTGACGGCTTTTCCAGAAAAACCTCCATGTGTGAAAATGTTCCAGCCCCGGTTGATTTCCAGAGGGTATGTCTGTTGATTCATGCCAATTACCCTCTGGTAAACTAACATAACTATGGAAAATCACCATGTTTAATGGGTAAATCAACTATAAATGGCAATTTTCAATAGCTATGTTAGTTTACCAGAGGGTAGTCGTCCTCAAGTTTTTCTTAATATGTCCCATCATTGTGGATCCAGGTTTCCATCGGACCCATGGGACATCAGTATCAAGAACATGGTTGTATACCAAACATTGGGGAATCTCCAAAATAGCGTGTGGCCAGGAATGATGCATACCGTCATACAAGAAATCCTCCACTAACAAAGGCCCATTGGGTCTTCATTCTTTTGATACTTTGTTGATGTTTGTTGGTTCATTGAATGGAGCCCCCCGAAATCATGAACACTACTGCCCTCTGGTAATTTAACACTGACTCCTGGATAAACATTACATGCTGAGAGCTTCCAGAATTTTGGGGTGCTGACTTACAACATCCCTTTGTGGAAAACAAAAACTGCATCAGCAAGTTGAAAATGGGGTCCACAATTTACAGACCACTTCAAGACGACGCAAGGATGCTGGATATCACTAAGAGATGAACCTGAGAATCAAGATTTCGCGAGAACATCCTGCTGATGGTATACCCTATTTGTTGATTACATCACCTGTCAATCAAGCTCCCCAACAACATAACCTGCGTCTATGGAAACACGACATCTTCCCTATTCCAGGTTCTCCGCTCACTCGGCCACAAGAGATGACAATCTCACATCCAAGTACTAGCGGTTGCAACCCACCACGGGGTAGCAACGGATCACCCAGGAATAACTTACCCTTTTGGTGGAGAGCCTCCTTAGAAATTGCTCCTGGTCTTGTCTTCAACCATCTAATCTGGGCCAGTCATGGGGTATCCTAAATATCTCGATGTGTTCTGCAAAACAGTATCGCGGTGTTCCCCATGTTTGGTGGCTGCATTTGAGCCATCCAGTGATGATATGAGTGTCTCAAAATGGAGGATACCCCAAGACAACTCCCCAAAGACATCCCCCCAAAACTAAACACAAATGCAACTGTAAAATGCCATAAAATTATCGTGTTGAATCATAAAATCATGTTCCACACTCCATATATATATATATATATTTGTCATCCCATGTCAGTTCTTCAAACAAAAAGCAACACTAAAGTAGTATCTACCGCGTTTATTTTAATGTGGCTCTGTCGAATGTTTTGGGATAGCCATCGAAAAAATGGCAAACCATGGGACTTTCCGGTGTCTTATCGTTGGCAACAAAGCAGTAAGTGGCTAATGAGCCATACTTTACTAGGCTATATCCAAATATATCCCATGTGTAGTACAGTACTATACATATATATATATATATAGTGGCTGAGTGGCTGATGTGAAAATTTCCGCCATTGCGCGTTCAATCTGAAGATATATATATATATACAAAGCGCTGTTGTTGTAATGTGTCTTTGGATGTCTTCAGCCAAGCCTCTGAAGTGGACAGTGTGCTTTTCTGGATGTCTGGCATGGTCTGCACCCGTTTCATGCCCGACTCCTTGCGGCGAACATCTGCAAAGTGGTGCCCCAGTCAGCTAAGGTGGTTTATAAATGAGAAAAACTCTTGAGTTTGTGGTAGATATATATCGAAATGCTTATTCTGGCTTCTAAACCAGCATTTCACAGGCCACCACCTTGTTGGCCACCATCTTCGCTCACAAATTGATGGTAATTGGCGGTGGATTTTCCGTCGCATCCTCTTCGCCCAGGTCAGTCATTCAAAGTTTGTTTCAGGTGATCATCGGTCTGTTTCCAGCAAAGTCTTGGACCTCTTAGACCAAAGACAAGGACTAGATGGAACCCATCCTGATGGGTTATTGCAGGGGAATCCATCCTCTTCTTTTTTGAGCACCCCCATTCTATGGTAATATGTTTTCCAGTCACTAAACGATTGTTTCTCAGGGGTCTTTAATATGAATTGGGCAAGGGATTTCAGGGGTAGCAAACCCCAATCGCAGTCTGTTGGGACTTTCTGACCTTCACCGAACCTCGATTTCACCGGAAGGATTTTCATCAAATGAGCAGTGGTTATACAGTTGAGAACGGGTTTCCACGTTCATGGATTCTGCTCTTCCCCATTGTATTGGTTAGTATAGTCCTCGAACTAATCACAACTCCAAGTGCTGTTCAGAACCTCAGAGAATCCTGTGACCCCCTGATTATTGATTAGTCTTGTCCAGAAATTGAGTATACAGTATCCCAAAAGGATCGTTTTGGAACATGATGATCCACCTTGAGATCCTGGCGTACCCCATTTTTGCACAAACCGTTTGTCTCTTTGCAGGCATTACCTTTTTGGGAAGCCAGTCTTCAAACTTTCGCACAATTTAAAGCGTTTCAAAGCGTCAAAGCCATCTTGGGCTGTGTATATCCCAATCTTTAGGAAATGATTTGTACCTGGTTTACACCCAAAAATGCAATGGAACCTGAAAACTGAGGTTCCAAAACATGATTTTACTGTAGTTTACTAGTGGATATAGTCCCTCTTGGTTTCCATCTTGGATTTAGTGGAGCATAATGGCTGGTCGTGATATCCCAATTGATCCATTGATCCATTGATCCATTGATCCACGTTTCTTTTGCGCTGGGTAAAAAGATTGACATATTGAGTTTGTGGGCATCGTGCATGATCATGACCTGTGTGAGACTGGTGGGATACAGTGATACAGTTCCCTCTGTAAAAATCTTATGTTTTGGTGTTTTCCCATTGACACAGTACTGGCAGGGTGACATGTAATAACCATATTATCCATATCACAAACCAGTTATGTACTGTACGGGATAACCCATCAAGATGTTTGGCTGAAAAACTTAATTGTACTGCTTCACTGACCTGAAAATAGCTACTTACTGGCCGAAATAATGCCATTTGGGGATGGGTTCCCTTTACTAACTATACAACCATCAATCATGTGATGTCACAGTGAGGTGACTAGTGACTATAATTCATTTAGATCATATGTGTTTTTTTTCATATAATTTAGGTTTCTTAGTCCCAATCAAAATGGATTAACCATCCCCAAATCACCTGATCATTTCAGGATCATCCCCACCTGGTTTTCACCGTTGCCATCCGCTGCCATGGCTACCGATGACGGTTTTGGCGGAGCCAGCGGCGCAACGGTGTTGTGGTATCGTTGGGATATGAATTAGAAAGCACTTGAACTCGGTTCAACCGCCCATTGACCTTCAACATTCGTCATACTGCTTGGAAACGTCGTGTTTTTTCTTCTTAAAGAAGAGTTGCCTTATCAGAAATGAATGTCTCTCTGCGATCCCGCTTTCCTCACAGCAGTTTCCTGGTTTTTATCATAGCCTGCTGCATAGCTGGTTCAAAGATTCACCATCTTCCACTTTTTCGGCCATGTCTTGGATGGGCTTATGGCCAGGGATTCTTCTCGTTCCTCTGGAGCCAGATGGCAGATCATTGCTGGATGTGGAGCCTCTTCCAAGGCTCTGATTTGACATTAAACAAAAACGGATCCATATGTTTTTTGGAGGATATGACATTCATATCATCTGACATCATATCATCCCCCAGCCATTTTTGGAGGATATCCAAGGCCTCTTCCTTACCTGACACTGCAGCTGTTATATCTGTGGATGTCTACATCCATCTGACATCATCCCCCAGCCTTGGGACTCGAAAAAAGGGGCCTTCTGGCTGGTCATCACCATATACAGCACATGCTTTTTTCTCTGAATCCCAGATTTTAAGTGATTTGTAACTAGTTTATAACCCCGGCCCCTATACAAAACTGGGGATATTCCACCAAATACTAGGGTGGAAAAACTGGTTCTTAGCCACAAACAGGGACGCACTCCCAAGGTGAACATTGCTTGGGATTTAGATACTGGGAACGACGAAATAGCGCCACGTTCACAGCAAAGTGGCACAAAACCATTTTGTGGTGCTTCAAAATACGAAATACGTGACCAGCCGATACGGCCTGAAAGGGTGACTGCAAACTGGGGGTTTGATTAGACATGGAGAAGTCCACCACCTAAATGAGGAACCCAGCTACAATGCATTCAAAACAACCTATTTGGGGGAGAAAAAACACAATTTAGCTTCATGCTATCAAGCTAGATGCTCCATTTTTCTTGCTTGTGCATCCCCATTTTGACAGCCAAAAAACCCTCCAATCCCCCACAGATACTTGAAAAAAAGGCCTGGCAAAGCAAGAAGCACTTTGCCCACCGATGCCTATGCGGCCAATATGAAACCAAAGAAATCCCAGTGCTTAAATGGTCATCAACAGGCAAAAACCATCAACAATAACTGTAGATAAATACATAACGTATAACTATAACTATAACCAACAACTATAACTATAACCAACAAAAACCATATGTATATATATATATATACATATAACTGTTGGGTTTCTGGTTTCATATGTTTCATCCCTTCCACCTGAAACACGCCGAAGAAATCATGGGCTGTTTAATATGAACGGTGCATGGGAAATGCCCCAGAACTGTGATTCTCTCTCACTACGACAGCATGGGATTCCAAACCACCAAATGCGATATCCAAATTGTAGGGAGATCTCCAGATCTGTTTCATGTTGGATCTCCAGATCTTCAATTTCTATCGGATGATTTTTTCATTCAGAGATGTAGCATCCACCTTTTTGGGGCGCAAGACGTGGCCAGAAAAATGATCCGTCCGTCTGCGGGTCTCAGGGAACCCAAGTATTTGGACACGACACAAGGTGGTGCCCCAGTTTGGAATCGCTAAGTTGAATTCGAAGTAGGTCAAGTGTTGGGTTTATGGTATACATATATATATATTTCTATGGCTGAACTTCTGAACATACTCCCTTGGGCCCCAATTCACCTGTGGTTCATCCTGGACTCCACAAGTCAGGGCGAAAAGTGACTAACCTTGGGTATTGCCTCCTGCAAGTTCATGCTTCTTAGGAATATCATGTGCATATATATATATATTATAAATATGTATATATATATATATATCATACAGTATGTATATATTTTTTTACATTCCTCCATCCAAAATGGTTTTAAACTATCTTAAAGTTACCCATTCAGCTATATTCAGAGATTTCTTAGGTACTTCCCAAGCCGGCATGTTTATTTTCATTGGGTCACAATGAAGGGGGAAAATCTTCAGTGTTGCTGTCTAAATCTCCATATAGTTGTGTAATTTTTTTTCTTGCTATGGAAGAAAATCTGAATCTCCCATACCAACTGACAAGTCCAAAGTGTTTCACTGTTATTCACTATTGATCCCATATATTGCCCTCTGGTAAATTAACATAGACCCTGCCAGATAGCGGTTGGAAGATTAGTTTCCATTAAAACTAGGCTATTTTCATGGTCTATGTCAATTTACCAGAGGGTAATCTGAATCTCCCAAACATGGCCAAGTTGTGTTTTTTTGTGGCCTCACCATCCACCCCGCCACAGGGCAGGATTTTGGTCTGGCACGGCGCAGCGGCCTGGTCAGTGCGTCAGTGCGTCAGTGCGTCGCTCTGGTGACACCAAAATACGAGACGACTGGGACAGCACAACTTCCGGGCCTCCCAAGATAGTCATTTGATAGTTATTTGGTTTATAACATTTTATAACTCAAAATTATAACTATGGAAAAAGGATTGATTTATAATCTATAGTAGAGATTGATCGGGGGTCCTCTTTCCAGGAAAAATGAGGACTGTTATCAACAAGAACAGGAAACCGCTGGAGTTGGATTTGACTAATATCAAACAATAATGAGTATATATATATATATGTTATATGTATATATGTTACATGTTTACTGTACGCGTGGTAGCGTCTCAGTGTGATTACCTAGTGGGTAGGGAAGGTTCGGAAACTGTTTCAGGGCGGTGGGATATCGGGATATCCAAAGATTTCCTGCTGAGGATATGGGCAAAATAGTTTTTTTTGCAGTTACACATAAGATTATGTTCTAAAAACCCTCTGGTAATTTTAGATAGCTATGGACGATCACCATTCTTAATGGGTAAAAACATGTGTATATATATATGTGTGTGTGTATGTATATATATATATATGTATATATATATATATATGTATATGTATATGTATATATATATATGTATATGTATGTATATATATATATATGTATATGTATATATATATATGTATATGTATATGTAACATGTATATATATATGTATATATGTATACATATATATATATGTGTATATATGTATATATAGACATATATATATATATGTGTATGTTGTGTATATATATATATATGTATGTGTATATATATATATGGGCCATTTTACCATAGATATGCTCGATTCCCAAAGTGTCTTTTCATGTTCAAATTGGACATTTCCTCTCAGCAGCCAGGTTCCATCACGTGAGAGTTTGCGTGCAATTCTAATGTAAAACCACTGCTTCTTCATTTCTGAAGTGCGAGCCCCCCAGAGCCCCGGAGTACCTCCCCAAAGACAATAGAGGTTCAATAATGTTCAATAAGCCCCTAAAAGGCTTGCTAGTGTTGAGTAAGCCCTCAACACTAAGGCCTTATTTGTTGGGGATATGACATCAGCGCCGCTGGGTGGGCCTTCAAGAGATCGCAGCAAAGGTTCTCCAGGCCTAGACAAGTCAACGTCTCCAATGGGCGTCCCAACGTTTGAAATAAGCCAAAAAAAAATCAGGGAAAAGGCATCCTGGGAACATTTAATATGGCCTGATCAGATCTCTTACAGAATGGCTCCTAAAGGGACTTTAGGTACCAAAATGGGTAGTAATCCAGAGAATAAAAGTTGGTATGATGTATGGTTTAGGATTTACCACACCACGAATCATGTTGGGTCAAATCTGTCTATTGCCATGTTTCCTGATGCCCGGAATCTTGACATCGTCGTCGTCAAACGGCCCAGGCCCCACATCTTCGCCACCGCGCCTTGACAAACCAGCAACAACACCACCTGGGTGGACGAAGCCGTATGCGCGTGACATCGCATGAGAAACAAAATACATCCAAGTAGTGCGTCTTCCCAGGGCTTCACCTTCAGCAAGTGTCTCAACTTGCCACCTGTGCAATCCAAGCTTTGCAAGTATTAAAAGAGGAATTTTCCGGAGTTTACCCTCTGGTAATTTGTTACATAGCGAACTGGAAAATCACCATTTAGTTCGTGGATTTTCCCATTAAAAATGGTGGATCTTTCCATAGCTATTTTGACATAGCCAGAGGGTAACTACACTGATGGCTCTTTACTCAAACTTGCTGAGGTCCTTCGACTGGCCCACTAGATTCCACCGAGGTGTCAGTCAGTCACCTTTGTGGCTCCATGGCTTATCCCAATGGTTATCCCAATGGATATCCCAATGGATATCCCATATATCCATGGCTTATCCATGGCTTACCCATGGCTTATCCATGGCTTATCCCACATATCAATGGCGAAATCCATGGCTAACTACCTCCAACGATCCCTTCGATGATCCAATGAGGATCCAATAAGCCGAGGTCTCCGACGGGCTCATCGCTTGGAAAGTCTGCGTCCAAAAGAATCATCGTCGGCGCCGCATCGCCGGTGCAGCCCGGAAAGGCGCAGAAGGAATGACTGCAATGTAGTAAATCCCATAATACAGCCACTACTTCCATGTGACTTACTAATGACTCATAATTAATCATAATATAATAGGACATAATTCAAATCATCATGTAAAACCAGCATAATAGCAAACATAATGATGCGCAATATTCAGATATTGTGATTGAATTGTAATACTGGCAAACACTACAAATATTGGGATATCGTTTATGGCATTGGGTTGGCACCGTTGGTACGCTCGGGAAGCATATGCTAAGCATATTTTGGGTCGAGTGATGCTCAGCTTGGTTGGTGGACTTCGGGTGTCTAGTTTGGGACACCTAATGTGTTCCCCATGTGCATATATACAAATATATATATATATACGACCTGTACATGTATGTGTGTATACATATATATATATATACATATGTATACACTGTTATATACTGTATATATATATATATCTGTATATACATTACATATCGTATATGCCTTTTTTGCGGTATGGTTGACTTAAGAACCCAAATTTGCCCTCCACTCAACTGTGGTTAGGGTTCTGTCCACATCTACCAGGCATTTTGCTGTGAAAACCAGCGCAATGATGGGATTGGCAGTTCTCATGGGATCTCATGGGTTTAGATATGTTTAGATAGGTGCACCATATCTTTTTAAGATGGAGTAGAAATCTGATTAGCAACAAGGATAAATAGAAAAAAATTGCTCATGTGTGCAGAGGATCTTTTTGACCTATGACATCCATGGCTTTGTATCAAAGTCAGGTCCCCCAAACTGCTTCAAAATTGAGTGCCCAAAATGTCTGAACTGCGAATCTCCACCGATCTTCACATCTGTGGTGCCACCCATTAGGTGTACTCCACCATTGAGGACCTCAAAGCCCAGAAACTGAGGACCATTCCTAGTTCAATGGAAATCGTGCAGTTCTTCGCACCATCTTTGGAAACACACCCTGTCCTCTAAATGTTCCTTAGCTTAGCCGAAAAAATTGAGGTCTTCTTAGCGAAGCTTGACAGTCCATACGAATCCCACGGCTGAAACTAGTTTCGGGGATCCCGGACACCGCACGGCCGCATGGAAAATGGCACTCTTGTAGCCGTCGTCACCCGAAGTGTGCCATCTGGGAACGAGATGCACCGCACGCACTGCACACATCAAATGGCGGGGAGTCGGGTTGCTGATGTGGGTTGGTATTATTTGGGTCAGTGATACTAACCAACCCAAGATAATGCTATTTTGGGATAGTTACCCCTACTAATGTGGGAAACCCCATAAAACCTTTCATTTGGAGATGATTTGATGGCCCACTCATTTTTCATCATATTGGGGATGGTTGATTGTTGTGTTTACCACATTATCTACTTTACAACTAGGCTATTACTGATCATTTTACAATTAGGCTATTACTGTTCAGCTGCAACTTTGCCCTCTTGAATATATTATATTGATAAAGAGACTAGGCATCCTGGTATCTCGTGCTGCACCAAATCCCAGTCGCGGCCGAATGCTTGTAATCTGTTTCAGACCAAGACCAACATGGCTGAAGAAATCAATCAGGCACTGCAATTCATTTTTAAGGGGAGGTGGAGGGATGGGGTAGGAGGGGTGGCGGGGTAAATGTTGGGTGTAAAATTGTAGAATCAAAACAACGTGTTTCCATTTTTCAGGCCGTAAAAACACCCTATTTTTTCCAAAAAACTGCACAAAAAACCCTTCCAAACACCCTCAAGGCCCCACTGGGTTGGGCCCCCTGACAGGTCGTGAAAGCCCTCAGATGTGGCTGCCACATCTGGTAGCAACGCTGCAGCTGCTTCTTTGGCCTTGGCTTTCAGAAGCAAAGGACAGATCAAAACCCTGATACCCTGGTTAACATAAACATCGTTGGGATTTATGGATGTTCATCCCCACAAAATATGGATGATAGATATGGTATTGAATGGTAAAATGATTCATTCCCATGTATGGATACCTCAAAGCCAAATGACCTTCGGGATGCTTCATCGCCACCTGAATAAAATCCTACAAAACACGGACCACAAGGTTGTTTCTTGTATACATGAGGCGGGGCACAGCTATCACTGAAAAGTTGACATTCGGAACATGCACTCCTGCTAGAAACCCATCGTCAAGCTGCAAATTTATGACCCAACTTAACAATGGCATTCAAATACAGCCAACAAAAATTGTCTGACGTTGGATATAAATGATATAAATAAACCTGGTTTCATGATATTATGCCATTGACCCAGTCTTAAATACCTGCTGGGTCATTGGCCCACCAACTTTGGACCTTACTGGAACTCAACGTAACAACTGCGGCCCCAAGGGCGTAGGCAGCGTATTCACGGCTCAATGCGCGCCTGGCGTCCACTTGTCCAACGGGTCCCAAGCTTTGTTCAAAAACGGGGTTGAGATTACCCTCGGGTAATGACTCACATAGCTATGGACAAGCACTATTTCATAGCCAGGTAATTCTAGGTACATCCGTAAATCATCAAACTAAATGGACCATGTTCAATAGTTTCAATAGCTACGTGAAATGATCAGAGAGTATACAAAAATTTGGTGAACAGGACCTTTTCAAAAATCACCCAGCTGCCCAGCATCACCGAAACCCAATTGAAACCCATCGAACGGAACCCGGAACCGAAGTCTTTGACCTGAGCCTAAAGCGAACAATGTTGGAGAAAAAACATGTGTTCCATCAGTGGATTGTATCATACTTCTATCGATCAGGCAAAGACCCTATAATTACGGCCGATATGTGTATTCGGTATTGTCCCATTTCCACCATTGCGATTCCGAACAGGAATGGGCGGCCATTATCATTAGTCACAGCCTTTTCCACGTCATGGGATAAGGATATCATTTGGGTGTGTCTGAAAATAGAGTACCCCTCAATGCACCGTTGAATCATCATTTTTCCAACCAAATGTTGCCATTCTGGGGTATCCTCTCAAAATTGGTTTAAAGGATGAAGGTGGAAGCAAGGTTGTGGGGGATCGTAGTCATAATATGTTCCGTTCATACATATGTGTTGCATAGATACATGTTTATACATATTTGTACACAAATGTCATATGTTGTGTATATGTGTGCGTGTATATGGATGTGTATATGCATGTTGTGTTAGTGTTATATGGATGTGTGTATAAATATATATATACACACATATACATATACATATCATACATTGTGTATATCATATATTACATACCCCTGGAGAAAGTATGCAACAGAGATATGGAAAAGCAAACATTAATGTAGATAGTTTTCCGCATTTTTTCCCATGGTGGTGTCCCATATCGTTTCTTAATGCATTGGTTTCATGATAATGGTTTCATATCTATATTATTATATTAAAGATATCTATATATACACACACACGCATTGGGAAATGTCTTGCATAATCATACAATCATTCATCATATACAATAAAATATTGCTAGATCTGGATAGATATTGCTAGATCTTGATAGATATTGAAAGCTATAGATAGAGCCTATTTATATATTAGTGCCATCACCTACTTCCCTACTTTCCTTTGGGATTTTGCCAGCCAAAAAAAACGCCTCTGAGTCCTCTCGCTTGCACCCGGCTCCTTGGGAGTGGCCAAGCGAGCCACCGCCTCCGACGACGAGTCGCGGCCATGCCAAAAACGGCGCAGACACCCGGGGAAAAAAAATAGCTTCGGTGGTATCCCCAACAGCCGCAACGATTAATTTTTACAAATCTTTCTGAATCCTGCTGTGAAGCCAAGCGTTGGAAACGCCTCAGCTGGCTTTCCATGAATTAAATGGCCGCAAATCCTGTTGAACCTGACCTGGCTCTGCACCAAAGCCTCCCGGAACCTTCTCCGGAACCTTCTTCTACCCTTCTTCGGAACCCTGTTGAACCTGACCTGGCTCTGCACCAAAGCCTCCTGGAACCTTCTCCGGAACCTACCCTGGCTCTGCACCAACGCCTCCCACACCTTCTCCGGAACGTTCTCCTGACCTGGCTCTGCACCAAAGCCTCCCGGAACCTTCACCGGAACGTTCTTCAGAACCCTGTTGAACCTGACCTGCATGGCTCTGCACCAAAGCCTCGAAGAACCTTCTCGGGAACCTTCTCTGGAACCTAACCTGGCACCAAAGCCTCCCACACCTTCTCCGGAACCTTCTCGGCTCTGCACCAAAGCCTCCCAGACCTTCTCCGGAACCTTCTCCGGAACCTTCTCCGGAACCCTGTTCAACCTGACCTGGCTCTGCACCAAAGCCTCCCAGACCTTCTCCGGAACCTTCTCCAGAACCTTCTCCAGAACCCCCCAAAACCTTCTCTGGAACCTTCTCCGGAACCCTCTTGAAGGTGACCTGCTTCTGCACCAAAGCCTCCCATGCAGACCTTCTCCGGAACCTTCGGAACCTTTATTTTTAGAATCTGTCTGAAGCGTGCTGCGAAGCCAAGCACTGGAAACCCTGTCCTGACCTGGCCCTGCACCAAAGATTCCCAAAACCCTTCTCCAGGACCTGCTCTGCAACCTTCTCCGGACCCCGTTGAAATTGATTTGGCGTTGCACCAAGGCTTCCTGGAACCTTCTCCGGAACCTTCTCCGGCACCCTGTTGAATCTGACCTGGCAAGACCTTCTCCGGAACCTTGTCCGGACCCTGTTGAACCTGACCTGGCGCTGCACCGAAACCTCCCGGAACCTTCTCCGTCTCCGGAAACCCGTTGAACCTGACCTGGCTCTGCACCAAAGCCTCCCAGACCTTCTCCGGAACCTTCTCCGGAATCCTGTTGAACCTCACCTGGCTCTGCGCCAAAGCCTCCCAGACGTTCACTGGAACTTTCTCCGGGACCCTGTTGAACTTGACCTGGCTCCACACCAAAGCCTTTCAAACCTTCTCCGGAGCCTTCTCCGGAACCTTGTGACCTGGCTCTGCACCAAAGCCTCCCCGGGACCTTCTCCGGAACCCTGTTGAACCTGACTTCGCTTTCCACCAAGGCTTCCTGGAACCTTCTCTGGAACCCTGTTGAACCTGACCTGGCGCTGCACCAAAACCTCCCGCAACCTCCTCCGTCTCCGCAACCCCGTTGAACCTGACCTGGCTCTGCACCAAAGCCTCCCAGACCTTCTCCGGAACCTTCTCCGGAATCCTGTTGAACCTCACCTGGCTCTGCGCCAAAGCCTCCCAGACGTTCACTGGAACTTTCTCCGGGACCCTGTTGAACTTGACCTGGCTCCACACCAAAGCCTTTCAAACCTTCTCCGGAGCCTTCTCCGGAACCTTGTGACCTGGCTCTGCACCAAAGCCTCCCCGGGACCTTCTCCGGAACCCTGTTGAACCTGACTTCGCTTTCCACCAAGGCTTCCTGGAACCTTCTCTGGAACCCTGTTGAACCTGACCTGGCGCTGCACCAAAACCTCCCGCAACCTCCTCCGTCTCCGCAACCCCGTTGAACCTGACCTGGCTCTGCACCAAAGCCTCCCAGACCTTCTCCGGAACCTTCTCCGGAATCCTGTTGAACCTCACCTGGCTCTGCGCCAAAGCCTCCCAGACGTTCACTGGAACTTTCTCCGGAACCCTGTTGAACACCTGGCTCTGCACGCAAAGCCTTCCAAACCTTCTCCGGAGCCTTCTCCGGAACCTTGTGACCTGGCTCTGCACCAAAGCCCTCCCGGAACCTTCTCCGGAACCCTGTTGAACCTGACTTCACTTTCCACCAAGGCTTCTTGGAACCTTTTTTGGAACCCTGTTGAACCTGACCGGGCTCTGCACCAAAGCCTCCCACACTTTCTCCGTAACCTTCGGAACCTTCTCCAGAACCTCCTTGAACCTGACCCAGCGCCTGCACCAGTGCACACCGGAGCTATTCTGGGCTGAAGACCCCAGTAGCTCACGCTGTTGGGGAATGAAAGTTCTTCGATTTTTCTGGTCAAAATCTAACCTTTTGTTGGTTCTAGGTTTTGAATCCCAGTCGTTGCTGCTTAAAACTTGAAAGCCCATGTTGAGAGAATGTCTTGGACCATCAAAATACCATCAAAATAGGCAATTTCCGAAGTCTCCCACATATCATTCACCAAGGTTTAGCCAGATTTGGCGATCGGGTCTCGATGATCCTATCAGCCAGGTCAGTGCTCCTGTTTTGGGACCGCGTCCACACTCGACTCATGGACGTCCAGGTGAACTGTTTTTTTTTTAAACTGAAAATTAGGATCCCATTTTGATAATTTTACTAAAATGGGCATACTTGTTGGTTCCACGACAATTTTGCGGCTGTGCAATTTAATCGAAAAAGCAATTGTGGTTGGTTTTATTTCCTATATTATCCCCATTACATGCCCATTCTGGTTGGTATGTTACGAAAATCCCTATTAAACGAGGTGGTTTTCTAAATCTGTTTTTTTCCCTCACCACATTCTGATGTACAGTAACCCCTACGTAAGTTTAAGCAGGTAACAACGAATGATCCCATGGTACTGCCAGGTGAGCAGTGTGGCCTAAACCCGTCGTCCTTTGCACTGGTTGAGAACGGGAATCCCCTAATGGATTCTGAGAATCCTCAATATATTGGATATAATCCAACCTCACTAATCATCAACCAACCATTGGACCATCATTGAATTAGCAATTCTGCCCCTCATAATTTCCTAAGCACCTCGGCACGGGCATGGGCGAAGCACCTCGGGAGTTGCTGGAGGCAAAAAAAAGGAAACATGGTCGACCTTCCAACGTGAGACATTCCAAACATGATGATTAAACAAACCATCAAAAATTGGGATTTAACCATCAAAACCAAGAACATAATCCAACTATTATGGTGCCAAACATGTGATTTCATCCCCTTTTCAAACATTGGTTTCTGGGGTGTATCACACACCCAGCAAACTGATGCCCTCAATGCGTAGAAGAAATGCTGGTCGTGCTGGTTCAAATGATTCATGACAAATATCCCCTAGTAAACAGAAAAATGCAAGCTGAACAACTCATGTTGCTCATGAGGTAGCATTGAA